CGAAAGCTTATGCTCTAATAAATTTGTTAGTCTCTAAGGTGCCACAAGTACTCCTGTTCTTCTTTTTGCGGATACAGACTAACATGGCTGCTACTCTGAAACCAGTTCTTACTTAGGCACTGACTCGCTGTCTCTGGGTGAGTCACTTATCCTCTCTTCCTGTTTCCTGAACAGTAAAATGGAATACTGATATAACCTCACAGGAGTGTTGTGAGAACTGACAATGACTTCCCATTGAAGGAAAAGAAAGAAGCTTGATTTTTAAGCACATGATACTTATATAGGGATTTGACAAAATGCATGCTGGAAGTGCAGCATCTCCACTTACCACCTTTTAAGCAAACACCTAGCTCATACATTAACTGTATCATGAGAAATCCCTTGTAAAACGTTTCTGCTGTTGGCTCTTTACTTGTAACTAATTACACCAGGTCTGTTTGCCAAATTAAAGGCCACAGCTTGTAAGTGAATATTTGACATTACACTTCCTGAAACAAACTGCTGACAACAGAGTTGATTAAAGAACCCACATAATTGTGATGTCACAATAGTTCACACACTGGAGCAAAGAGTGTTCCTTCTGTTAGAATTTGTTGTTTGCTTTTAGAAAGAGATTATTTTCTTTCTCATCCTTCAGTATGAGGGTCATTTTTATAAGTTTATTTATGAAGTATCATTTCTCTTTGAAGATACAAAGAAATGCTTTGCTATTGAAAGGCTAGTCCATACAAGTAAGATTCACTTGGGGAAACTCTCTCCTTGGGAGTGCATGTGGTCTGTGAGTAATATTTTGTGCAGAATGTTTCAGAGAAGGTCAGAAACATGAAAAAAACAAAAGCTCTGCACTTAAAAAAACAACAACGTACACATGGAAAGTATTTTCAAAGCTGTTCCAGAAATAACTTTCAGCATTTTCTTTAATTAAAAAGATGGTGATGTCTTCATGGAGCTCCCCTCAGGCCTTATCTGTACTTCAGATCTTCCTGTACTATGAAACAGTTTTCATTATTAGCTTTTAAACTACGTCAGCTAGTATAGTGGTATTGCCCTATGTGGACAATGCATCACCTTTTTTATTTTATTTTTTTAACATGACAGAAAAATTCACTAGCTTTTGACAAGTCCTTAAAACTGTTTTTTAGGTGTCTGGCACAACATTGGGACCTTACATAACTCTTGTTCAAATTGTTTCATGGCATGGGAAAAACCCATTGTAAAGGTCCCAGCTACATACTTGTCAGCGGGTGGTCAACTTGGATGCAAAGTAAGGCTAAAATAATTGGTCTCCTCTGAAATCACTGGAAGCTTTCCCACTAACAAAATTGTACAGAAATTCTATGTTGTATTGAGAGTTTCTTAAATAGTTGTTAAATGAACAACTATATCTTACCTTACAGCAACTCTTCAATTCACTAACTCCTAAGGGAGAAAATATTCTGTTCTATTTTACATCATGTTGGCTGGTTAGTAGCTTCCTGTGTAATTAGTTTTAAGCTGCTAAAATTTTAATACATTATTATTATTATATTGGAGCCTTTCTTTAAACAATCTCAGATTTCCATCACTCATGTGGGATAACCTTCCAAAATCCATTATACAGCTTTTCTGCAAGTACCTGTACTTCATGTATGAGTTACAATTATGGGTGTTTGGTGATACCTCAGTTGTCCATATTCCTCATCACAGGTCGACATAACTTCTTATTTTGTCTGGAATTAAACAGTATGCAACGTACATGTTGCCTTCTTAGTGGTCCTGAGCCCCCATTTTTATTACAGATATAAGGACCAAATTCTGCTCTTGTTTATACTTGTGCAACCCCACTTGAAATGAAAGCAAAATTTGTTTGAGTCTTAAGAATCTTACTAGTGGGAGGCAAGATAACTATTAACAATTTATAATCTTTAAACTGCTGATTTGGTATGTTCATGGGTGCTCTCCAACCATCTAATTTTTCTTATTAGAAACTAATGACAAAATGTGCCATTTCTTCAAAAGATGAAAATCAGTCAAATGGATCTATAAACTGTGCAAGTATTTAAAGCTGGGTAAAAGTAAGAGCAAAAATATTTTGGCTGTAATGTATTAAACTTTTTTGACCATCTTTTGGTGCGGGAGTATGCATGTTAATGAAACATTGCTGATTAAGTATAGTTTAAGTTGAATTTCTTTTCCAAACATCATTCTTTCTTGGGCTGCAAGCAAATGCTTCTGATTGCAAGTTAAACTACACCCCCCCCCCGTTCAAGATAGAAGATTAGATACCACAGAAGTGTCCTGTCTCTTTTCCACACTCATTCCCCCCATATCTGGACTGACGCTTATACAAAGCGTGGGTAAACTATATCTGCTGTATATTATCTAAACAGTATAGGTTTCATATTTTGGATTAATAATCATTATATGGAGAGTAGTAGCAAATGAACCAAATAGATTCTTGTTTCAAGTGCAGAAGTATGACCCAGAAGCCAAAGAGAAAACACTGAAAATAATCTGTTAAACAAAGAATGAACTGTGAAAATGTGCCATTAATATTTTTCCTTCAGAGCACTGGTTATTCACATCTGGTTATTCACAAAGTTAACCTAATAATGGGGTTATTAGAACTAGTGTGCATATATGTATGTGATAATTATGCATAAGGGAGTATTTTAAATTGTGATCTCGAACAAGTTGAATAGAAATCAGAGATGGGGTGAGAGAAGAGAACCTATTAGTGTGCTTTGTGGATCCCCTGCTCAGTTCTCCAATGCCTTGTCCAGGCTAGCTTTAGTTTGCCTGAGCAATGAGGGTTTCAGGAGTATTCTACTATCTAATACACCTTCGCTATTAAACTGATCAAATTCAGCCTACATTTTTTCTTTGCTCAGTTTCATCCTATTATTCCTGGGAGTGGAGGTGAATATCTTCATCTTTAATCCTTATACCCTTCATACGGCTGTCCAATTTCTTAGTTAAAAATTGGACAAACAATACATGCTTCAAATTTTCCTCTTAAATTAGTCTTAGTTCTTGTTTCTCTGCTCTGACTGCCCTCCGGTTGTCGATTTTCAAGGAGGGAGATGTCCCAGACTATGCAGAATTCTAGGTGTGCCAATGCAAAATAGTAGAGTTAAGACCTTTCTACTCCATGCTTTGGCATCCCTGTGTATAACACTTTAATGTTAATTGCCTTTCATCTGAAAATCATGATGTGCTTTAAAAGCCTTACCTAATTAAGCCTTCTTACCCTCATTAGATCAAAAAGGGAAAAAAAGGATCACTTCCTCCAGTGCTGAAATACAATTACTCTAGTAATTTAAGTCAGGAGGTTGAGAATACCACAGCTAAAATTCCAAGGGGATTTTGTGTACACAGAATGTAATTACTTGAGTTGGAACTATGCTATTAGTGGAATTAATACAAATGTTCTTGAAGTGCAATGGAAACCTTCATGACCACAGATATCAAGTATCTCATTTTGTCTCACCTAAAAGATGGTATTCTCAGATGAGTGTCCATTAGCTATAAGATGAGGCCTTCATTGAGTTCTAGAAGGGAAAATGGCCACTTATTGAACTACCTACTCCACTCCTCCAGCACCTTAGGTTTTTGTCGGATCATCTAAGCATTGACCCAGCTTGAACTTGCTTAACATGTGAGATTTGACAGGATCACAATATAATGTGGTATTTATAACGTACCTAAATGAGAGCTGGGCTTGGGCCAGGGAAATGTATTTGAATCAGCTAATTCCTCTCTAGTTTGCCACAACAGCTGCTTTCTAGAAAAAGCAACCAGTATTGAAACCGTGACTGACTGTCTTGATCCCCCAACAACTTTATTTTTTGTGTTGCGATATTACACTAGGCAGTGGAGCCAAGACAATAGTCTTCATTTGCATCTTTATCATGAATACACCAGGAAATACTGAGGAAAAATTCTTTAATATATTTGAAAAATATTGTGGCATTCAGATGATTTGAGAAGTTATATTTGACCAGCTCTCATGAAGTAGTTGGTTCTATTCTGAAGGATGCCCAACACTGACTTACATTTGGCTCCTTGAGTTTACCCAGAGTCTGTTTTTGATAACAACTTCACTTAAGTGAAATGTCACTGTCTTCCCTCCCCCACACAACAAATCTTTAATTGGCAGACACCTGCCTGTTCAACTGTTATAACAATTGTCTGTTAAATCTCTTCCAGGATGATGTGAGGCAGAAAGTTCACCTCAGCACCTTTGGCTTCTTCAAGAGTGGGTTCATGATGGTCAATGTCAGCAACCTTTCACTGGAGGGACCTTGGAGCCTTGATGACAAGAGCAACTCAGCAGTAAGTGACTTTGTATACACATAGAGATCTTCCATTAACATTCATGGAATGTAGCAAGTATTGAGAGAAAGGAAGCTCCTGCACTTCTTATCCCATTATAAAATAATTTCTCTCTATATACAGCAGTACAGGAGCAGAGAAAGACGTACATTTTAGGAAAGAGAATGGTCAGACTACTGGTGCCTTATCAAGCTCTGGGTGAAAGCCTATATTCAGGCTTCCTGTAAAGTTCTTTGAGTTGAATACTGTGACCCTTTGAGCTGGGGTTACTTCTTAAGTTGTACAGCTATTAGCTTTTTTCCACTGCTGGCAGTTACAGTTCTCTTGCAGCTTAGGCACCTTTAGTGTTATTTTGCATGGATCTAGGTAAGCTACTCTAGCATTGTCAAGGCTCCTTCCCCACTCTGAACTTTAGGGTACAGATGTGGGGGCCTGCATGAAAACTTCTAAGCTTAA